GAATTTCAGCTAAAAGCCATGCCCGTCTAGTGCCCTCTGCTACTCAAATGTATCCCTGTTGCTTGCACGAAAGAAATTCAGTAAAATGTACTATTCCTATCAATTTATTCTAAGATAATAATTATAATTATTATAGTTAATATTAGTTTATTATTATATTATAACAATAAATTCTTTACTTGGGCTATTAATAATGTTATTCAAAAACAATTTAAAAATATGACCGTATGTAAACAGTGAATCGAAACTTCACGATTCATTATGTCTAAATGGTAAAGAGATTAATCGACCACCGGAGTTCGCTCTGCGGACTTACCACTTGTAATTTAAACATATTGAGCTATGTAAATAAATATCAATACGTCTGTTTACTAGAGACGTGCATGAACGGAACTCTGTCGACCTTGCTAAATAATGGTTGACGTACTTAGTGTCCATCGTTTTTACTTTACCTTCATCGAAATGTCGCTCTTTGCTCTTTCGTGGCCTCTGCGAACGTTCTTGCGAGTTGTGGCAACGCGGTGCGCAGATTCGTCCGCAAATGTTCCCGTCCTATGCACTTCTTACGCGCGTTACCACACTAGATGAAGCAGCCCTCCCTCGCCTTAATGGTCTTCCGATCTTAATTCCCCTGGTCGTTTGCGTGGTTACGGTCATTACGAGCGTGCGGCGCGACGCGGTGCGGCGCGGCGGAGGGGAGGGCACCCAACAGGCCGGGCCGGGAGGGGGAGGGGGAAGGGGAGGTCGGGACGGTGCTTGTCCGCGGACATTCCGCAGGGCCATCACTTACGCACGGACATCCATTGCGTTTCGATCATGACGCGGCGCGGCGGTGGCGCCCATTAATCTGTCACGCGCTATGAGTTAGGGCAGGAGGGGGCGTCCTCCGCGAACCACCCCTGTGGCCCCTGGTTCACGCCCCCGCGGCGCGGTGGGGCCACGACCCCCCTGCCCCCCCCACCCCACACCTGCCTCGGTGCGCGTTCCCGCCCACCTGTCGCGACCCCCACGTCCGCTGCCCGCTCCCCCATCGCCCTTCCACCGCCCTCGCAATTCCACGGCCCCGCCCACCGCACTCCCTCACTTGCGTCGCTATGTGCGTAATGTATGCGCCCACGCCGTTACCGCGTGGAGAGCCCCGGGTCACGTTGGTTCTGGTTAGGCACTTAAGATACACAACGGCCGGGCTAACCATCAATTCCTGACCTTAGGTACATCTAATATTAGTTGATAACGTAGACAACCGTTATAAGGTAGCGATAAATCGCTTGCAAATTATATCAGCATTCGCGAAATAATGTGTAATTAATGCTAAAAATACAAGAGAATTCACTCATGCAGGAGCGTTCTTGAACAGAGGTATAATATAATTTCTGAAATCTACTATTCTACTATGTACAAACACAACTCACATACCTTCAAGAGTCACAAGTCTTTGTTTAGTGGCAGACTAAAACGCAAAGAGAAAACTACGCGTTACCTCACAAAAGAACAATGCAATTTTTCCCACTCGGAATACACCGGTGCTTATATCAATAAACGGTGTCAAGAAGGTATACATTTCGCCTGCTCAAATGCATTTTCTTACAAGTAAAGCAATCGACAGTCACAAATCTAATACCCAGAGCATTTACGCGATCAACATACGCAAGAAAGCAGTCGCAACTGCTTGGAACCAAATCTCGTAAACAGTGGAGTTTGTGCAACGCGGCGCGCCCTGCGGAACGCCCCAACTGGCCGCCCCTGCGCGGAGGAGCGTGCGCCGGGAAGCGCAGCCCTGACGTCAGCGGCCGCAGGTAAACTTTTGAGAAGTCCTATAATTACGAGCCAATAGCCCGGGGGCGACCGCGCGGCGCCGCCACCGCCGCCTCCGGCTTCTGCGAACACGAGGGATGCGGCGGGCGCCCTGACGCCCTCCCGCTCCTCCCCGCCACGGCCGCCGCGCCGCCAGGCTGTCCAAACTCCGCGCCCCCGCCGCGCCACTGCCGCCGCCGCCGCCGCCGCCGCCGGGAGGCGTTGCCCAAACCTTCGATCCGCAGCCGTCCTGCCACCTCCGCCACGGCACCGCAGCTTCGGAGATCCCGGCCAAGATCGGCCTCGACGAGTTCCTGATTCCGTGATTTATTACGCAGGTTTGGAGTAACGAAAGTTTCCGACGATACAGAAGTGGTAGACTGGCACGTTTAACAACTTGTCGAGTGTTTGAGGTGGAAAGAGCACAAAGGAGCATTAATGTTTATGGCAACGAGGAGAGTAACTTCTTACAGAATGCATTTGGTATATCAAGTGGAACTACAATGGCTAAAAGGAATCTTGAATTTTAAACTGTCTACATTATTTAGGACATATCAAATAAAATTTTCAATCACTACAAGCACAATAAATTTGAGTTTCTACTTTTGTTTAAAAAAAATGATTTTAGCAGCAAAAGGTTGACTTGAACAATCCGTGAAAATGGAAATAATGGCGCAAGTGTCATATTAACAATTAATACATTTCGCTCTAACTTATTTCATTTAAATTATTTCACTATTTATTTCACTATATTAATTCACTATATTAATTCACTATATTAATTCACTATATTAATTCACTATATTAATTTTAACTATATTTTATTTCACTATATTAATTCACTTAAATTATTTCAGAACGATGATTATTTTGAGAGGAATTACATACTGTTTTTATTTGTGCGCCCTTATTTAACGTAAATCTTAAAAGCGAAGGGGTGACGATTTTACTGAAATTTCAAATGCATCTTCCCTTTCTAAAATGGGAAACTCGCTTGTGGCGTCACGAACTGTATCCTTGCACTCTACTCCATAATTGCCCTTCTACGCGGCAGGCTCTGAGGTAACAACCCCGCAACGAGCGAGTAAAAACCAAAACGACGGCTCTGGTGCTCCAACACTCTCAAGAAACCGCGTCCAAGGCGCACTGACCACATCGAAGAAAGGGAGAAAAAAGCAACTCTGCCCGCATTAACGACGTGGCAGTAAACGAAAATAGAACGCAACCGCTCGGCAGTAGTACTTTTTTACGAAACAACTTTTCATACTGCCGTCTCGCAAACCACTACTTTGAACGCAGAAGTAGGAAGCTTTTGTTTATGTTGGTAAGAACATCGGGAAAAGGGGAGGAGGAAAGGGACCGGGGGACTGCCCCGGTTTAAGAGTCGAACGAAACGCGACAGGTTCTCGAAGACACGAAAACTCGCGATGGTCACGGAAGAAAACGGCCGACATAGAAAAGTTTGTCAGGCAGCGCTGCGGAATATTTATGCCTGCTTCGGCGCGGGAGAGTAGGTGGCTGGGCGGGTAGATGTGGAGAGGCGGGGCGGGACGAGGCGAGGTGGGACGAGGCTGGGCGGGGTGAGGCGGAACGAAGTGAATTGCAGCTGGATAAGACGGCGCGGGGTGACGCGGGGCAGAT